CTGAAACACTGCCGAAATATCGGGTACACAGTAAAAATAAATAAAAGGTGGTAAGATCCCGTGATTTTTCCTAGTGTAAATAATGATCAATTTTAAGATAGTATCTACCTCTATCTCAACTATTTCTGCCGCCAAACAGCTTACTTCGTAAACTATGTTTTATTTGAAGACTGAAATAAGGAAGGAAGTGAAGTACGTAGGCGTGACGTCCTAGCTCTCCAGAATAGCAATGACAATACTACTGAACTAGTTAGCCACTATACTAGGAATAGCAATATCACATAAACACGTCATAATTCACAAAGTTATAAGCCACATAGCGAAGCGGACTGATAGTCAATAATAAAAATGTACATAACTTCATATTTTTTACCCAAAGTCAACATGGAAAATTTACCTAGGTTATTGAAGCGTCAGGATTTTGCCCGTTTTATATAGTAAATAAAATAATATTTCACATGACTGGTTTAAAAAGAGAGAAAATAGGAATATGGATATATGTATATTTTAACATGTAAGAATTGCAAATTTATATAGTAGATATATTTCTAACCAGATTCAAAGAGACAATTTCATTTGTTTTATACTGATAATACTAACACGGGATAGTTTATACAAAGCGAAGATTTTGTACTATTTGAAGATATATTTTCTATATATTAACTTATACATAATATACTCATGAATATGTTTGTATCATTTAAATATGGAATCGCGAAGACAGTTACATCTGGCTAGTCTATTGTTCGATGTAATAAAAAGTGAACAAGCAGTTTATCTCTTTAAAAAACTAGATTTCTCTTCTCCTATGTAAGGATGCAGATTCATTTCTTCGAAATTATCATTTCAAGTACACAAGTAACAAAATGTTGGAACAACATCCTGCCACCTTTTAGGCATCTGACTACCGTACACAGTTTTAAAAAACATCACAAAGAATACTTATTTAAAAAAAAAAAATTTAGGCATTCCACAGAAATTTCTTGGCTAGCGGTTGCAATCTCACGTAATGATTTAAAATTTTTTTTTCTATGTGTTTCTTATTAATATTTTCTTTTTTCTCGTTTAATCCTTACCACTTAGTTAAAATTATATCAAATTATGCTCTGAACTATTTACATTATTTTTATTATACACACACCGCACAGACAGCCACCAATAATATTGCTCTTTTTATTTTATATTAATTTTAATTATTATTTTCACGTACCCTCAAATGGGTTGAAGCTAAAAATCTGTGTTTTGTTCCTTGAACAATGTTTCACGCTGAGCTTCGACCATTTTGTATTACTACATCTATCACACATAATAACATAATTTTATAAATCTTATGTCGTATTATGTATTGTCTATTCTTATGAACATGTTATGTGTGATTAGTAACAAACAAATAAATGATATATCTATCTATCTACCATGCGTTAATCGAACCCGCGACTATCGAAAGAAAAGCCGTTTTTGGTACACACACAGTAGCCCTCAGAATAATTTCAAATATTGGCATTTTATTTACACAATTGTTGTATTGTTCTGACGAGTTCATTGATAATATACTATTGTATTGTGATCAGATATTCCTGCTGATATAACATATCAGACACTCGATCATAATGATCAAACTGAACTAAGTCACAAATTATAAATTTTGGAAAATCGAATTTTCTCTTTTGTGATTTAAGGTCGAGTTTCCTAAGTTTGCAATTTTTATGTTAATGCATTTTATTACTGAGCATTTGATATGTGAAAAGTGAGGAATGTAGAGTTCCGCAATGGATGCTAAAAGCATAAATATTAAGAATATTTAATATCGTCATCTAATAGGAGAGACGCAATGCAATTGAGCATTGCGTTCGTTCACGTGCCACGGTAAGTATAATTGAGCTATCTGAGAGAAAATGATCTGTTTTCCACAGATTATAAAATGGAAATGTGTAATAGACGTGACCGACAATAACTAGTGTAATATATAAATCCGTTTTTCCGTCCACGTTTCTATAATTATTTAGATATAATATGAAGAAAAGGTTAGGTTGACTGTATTTGCCGGGAGATCAAATAAAAAAATAACGCTGAAGTATAGAATTACCTACGTCATAGAAAATGTCAAACAAAATTTAATTACAACCTATTTTATTATACATATACAAAAAAAAAATTATGCATAAAATGCATATGCATAAAAATAGTTTTGAAGAAACATGTTTATATGTAAAAAAAATGAAATTTACACTTAAAATATGAAGAAAGTAAAAAATATTATTATTACGAATAGTATTTCTTGTAAATTTTATATAACATTAAAGTTATTTGGAACTAATATATTAAGTACTAGTAGTAGTAGTATTCGTTTATATAAAGTTAAATGTCTTTCAAACTCCAATTTCATTCAATTTTAATTTCAATTTACATACACCAATCAACAAGAAACGATACTTGATAAATTATACAATGTCATATGCAACGCAATAACATGTGTAATTAATAAAGTCAAATCCCTGCACATAAAAGAGTCACCAGTTTTACATATATTATATTTATATATACATGTTATAATATAATATATATATAATTCTCGTGTCACAATGTTAGTTAGCATACTCATCCCAGACGGCTTGTTTGATTTTTATAAAATTTTATGTGCTTATTCAGTAGGTCTGAGAATCCGCTACTATCTATCTTTCATACCCCTAAATGATAAGGGTTGTCCACCCCTAACAATATTTTTTTATTTTTTGGGCAAAATTTTTTATTTATATTTTTTTATTATGTATTAATTAAACCACTGGTCGGATCGGGCTGAAATTTGGCATGCAGGTAGATGTTATGACGTAGGCATCCGCAAGGATTTATATTAATGTTACCCCCAAGGGGATAAAATAGGGGATGAAAGTTTGTATGTAAACTTTGTCAATTTTAAACCGATCGGGCTGAGACTTTGCATGCATAAATCTACTGTGACGTAGGCATCCCCTAAGAAAGGTTTTGATAAATTCCACCCCTAAGGGGATAAATTAACGCGAGCGAAGCCGTGGGCAAAAGCTAGTTAATTTATATAGCAAAACAATGTTTGCCGCGACAGCTGGTAATATGTATATGTAAATACAATTGGAAGCCTTTTGAATTGAAACTTTTGGAAGTTACTTATAAAGTATTTGTAGATAGACCCAAACTTATAGAGTTACTCGTATATCGATGAATATGCAGGTAGCGAAGATAGAAGTTTATTTGAAACTACTATATGTATAAGTATCGTATAAAACTTATCTACTTAACTATATAAGTAAGAAGTTTTAATACGATTTTACGTCTAAACTTTATGACAATATTCAGAAAGATGAATGGTGATCTAAAGTTCTTGAAATTTACTATGAAGTTTGCTTGTTAAAAATTATACGTATTGGATATATTAATCCAATGTAAATCTTTTACCATCGTTATTTTTTTTTAATTAATTAATTATACATTTATATATCTGTCTGCGCTAACGGTATACGCTGTCGGAACACCACTGGAGAATAATAACATAGTAATTCTTTTATTTTTGACAGCTTTAAATATGATTCATACATACAATGTTACAACAATGTTAGTGCAATGTTTAACATAAATATATAACGCCATAGCTCTGTCAAGGCATACCATAAATTCTTAAATTTTTAGTAATATTATAAACGTGTAAGTTTCTGAATGTGATTGGATAGATGGATGTAAGAATGATTGTTACTCTTTCACGCTAAAACTAAATAGATGTGACTAGGTGTACCTGTAGTTTTACCTACATAAAATTTGTAGCCGATATGTTATTTTACTGTAAAGTTTCATCAAAATCCGTTTCGCAGTTTTTGCATGAAAGTGTAATAAACATCCACCAAAGCATCTATCTGTCCATACTCACAAACTTCCGCGTTTATAAGATGTACTTTAATTTTTTTTCTTAATTAGTAACATCTCTAATATATGATAACACAAACATTACACGAAAATATTAATTTACAATTATATGAATGTTTATTGTATTGAAATAATATTTTATTCCGTTAATTCATGCACCTGATACCAAATCAGATACTTGTTTAAGTTTCAGACTAACTTCATTAAAACATGCTCTCTGGCAATAATAATCACTAAGATTATAACTAAGAGTGAATACATGTTTTGCAATAACACCTGCTAACATATTTGAATTATATTTCATCGAATTAGCTGTTATTTTGTGGAGTCCATTTCATTACTTAATAGATTTATACTATTTTGTTTAATTTTGTTACTGACGAAATTATACATAATCTATAAACATAATAATATAAATCAATTTAGTATTTGAAATAATTATATTAAATGCAAACTGATTCCACCATTATAAAAAAGAACCAATAATAAAAAATCAAATAGTAACATAAATGTCCATATAATTACCCAATTTTATTTTCTCTATATGATTAATGTCATGTAACTTTTATGCTTTAGCGATGTAATTTTGTTAATGGAATAATAATCGTGCAGACATTTTAAAAAATCTTGGATAGGTTTTTGACCTCTTTTTTATCTATTTGGTGAAATATGTATTTTTACCTTGGAGTAAAAATCTAGCTTATTAAAAAGTGCCCAATTAAAGGGTGATTAGAATTAGTAAAGCAATAAAATTACTTGAAACGGAGACATGACATATTCGTCTTCTGTAATAACAACGCATAATTAGTACTATGAGTATCCAATGACAATACAATGTATGTAATACTGTTCTTGTATAAGGACAACAGTGACCGTCAGCTTATTTATCATTCAGAATAATCAATTAAAAAGTATAACTATCTATCTACCTGAATAATATATAGCTAGGTATAGGTAGATGAATGAAATACGTCTTTCAGTAACACATCTAATTGCAGACAAAGGACTTAGACATATAGTACAACGTTATATAGATTTATTTGCTACATAACTAATAAAATGTCTACCTACAATATATTACACTTACTTTAATCTTGTTTCAGAACTCAAGCAATGGTTTCATCAAGAATATATTCTTCAATACAAATTATCCTTATATTAATCTTTACACAAAACATCAGATGTACAGAGGAAGGATATTTACGTTACGTTAAAGATGGCTGCTTCATAAAAGGAGAAGCACTCAATTGCGTAAAATATAAGGCATTGAAAATAGCACAAAAAACGTTATTCGGTGATAACATTAACTCAAATGAAACGATAAAGGCCAACCATATGATAAGCTTCGTACCTTTAGATTCGGAAATGATAGAAAAATTTACGACCGACGATAAAAAAGATTCTGTTCTCAGTGAGCCTAAAGGTTTCATGTCCGAGTGGTCAGAGCTTGCCAAATATTTTATGAAGTTGATTAAAGATTTCTTTAGAGTGAAAGGTTTGAAAGTGAATTTACCTGAAGAGGCTCGTGCTTTTGAGGAGGAGGAAGATATCAACGATGGTAAGATATTTTTGCAATTAACTGTACACTTTTACCTTTACACCGAGGTAGACTTTATATAAAGTCGTCTGCTTGGACATTTCTATTTCACTTATTGTATCCACACCTTCAATGTCTAGAATGCGTCTTCCACGGGTGTCACGTTGACATGGAATCCGTAATGCAGTTCATTTCCTTAGGCGATGGTATTATTAAGGTCATCATATTTGCTACTCCAGTTACATAAAACTTCTACCGATAACGTACGAAAACCCTGTGTTTTATTACAATCCAAGTATAATCAATTAAATCAACACGATAAAAGTGGAACATAAAAAATTCTATTTCTTTTTGATTTTAAGTTATTTCCAAGATTCTTGTCTAATGACGCTTAAAGTATCTAACTAAAATATGCAAACCTTGCCTTAATAAATTATAAACTGAACAGTGTCTTTTCTTAACCGATAATCAATAGCTAGAATTGAAAATGGGATATAAAAGCAGACAATGTTACAGGCATCTTGTCCTTCGTTCTTTTTATAAATATTTTGATACCGATTTTCTTATATGTGTTTTTTGACTATTTTGACAGAAAATATAAATAATATAGCCTTTTTTTCCAAAGTTTATTTTCATTATGAGGTTTATAAAATGTCCCGCAACTCGGTGTACCTTTTGGCATTGGCATCCTCCAGCTCTCTCCATTCCCTCTCAAATCTGTCTTCCGAAATCGTATTCTAGAACCGTCCCAGAGTCAGGTTGATGTCCTTTTTCCATCGTATTCTTTGGCAACCCTGTCTTCTGGTGGAATATAATATACACGTATCATTATACCTGCCTTTTACTGAATAATTGTTTAGTGATCTTGCGCTAGTCATAGAGAGGTTTTATTATAATGTACTAGCTACTCGCTCCGGCTTCGCACGGGTGTACATATATTATATATATAAACGTTCCTCTAGAATCCAATAAAAAATCTGCATCAAAATCTGTTGCGTTATTTTAAAAATTTAAGCATATATAGGGACAGCGACTTTATTTTATACTATGTAATGATGATCTACATACTTTAAGAAAAAGCTATGCTTTAATGTCAATCATAAAATATTTTTATTAAATGAAAATTATTAAACAACTAATTAACTATACTAAACATAAAAATATACTTGTAAACATTCACAGATATATTGGTTTGGGATACAAATATATTAATAACTTACCTCTAACTTATCTCAGACAAAACAGGTAATGAAAGTCCATACCTTATAGCGTTATTTTTAGAAAAATCTCGACGCTTGAGTGTAGGCATAGGGTTAGTTACTGTGGTAATGATCGTTCATGCGTAATCTATAAAAACAAATAACAAATATAAAAACAGTTTTCCCTGAATAATACGAGGTATTTGTAATGTTATCATTTAATAATATCTGTCTGGATGTCTTTGTATCTAATAATAACTAATACCTGGACTCAGATACTGATTTAACATTGTTTTATTTCAATCACATCTATGGAGAAATGACAATATTATTGATATATTTGTAAAGGAAAACGATTTAACAATTTAAATTATCATTTAAATTTTATGTATATTAGAATTGCTCTTTATACAGTATATGCTCCATATTTATAAAACATCCTACTAACTAACAAACCCATATTAATTACTAGTTATGCCCGTGACTTCCTTCTTCCTAATTTTGAAGATTTAATACTCTTAGGATTAAAAGAAAGAAGATATCTAAATGAAGACGTCTATTATTAATTAGTAAATTAAAAAAAAAATATTATATAGAGTCTATATATCGTATTGAAAGTATTAAACAAAATTAATTATTAATTATTATATCCTTATATTACGTAATTAAATATTTTTTTAATAATTATAAAACTAAATTTTTAACAATTTTTAAGTGAAAATTTAACACACAAAAAGATAAACAAACAAATAGACAAATTTCGACTCGTCACGATTTTATTATTTTATTATAATGCAAATGGAAAAAAAATCTACTAGTTTGTACTGGTTTGTCAAGATCTTACAAATCATGAAAATAGCTCGTAAGTAAATGTCAAAACAGTTCAATTTCTGAAGTCGATTGTAAGACGTTTGTCGTCTATGAATACGGATGAAATTATTTTTCGCAAGTTACAGTCGACTAATGGAATATATTGTGCTTGCCTTGTTTTCGAACAAAAGATCCGATCCCTGAAAGGCGCATCCATTATAGATCCTTCTGAAAGGAGAAGGGAATCCAAAAGAAAAATGTTTAAAGCAAATAATCACGATAAATATTGTACCTATAAATATTTGTTGCGTCACAGGATTCGAACCGGAAACTGAGAGAGCCACGGGAGGGTTATCCACCGCTACAAAAATAGGTGCGTTCCGCATGAATTTTCTATTGAATCGCACAAAATCGAGTCGTGTTACATTGTTTTAGAGCACATTTTTCATAACTTTCACCGATATTATAAATTTATATATTTTTACTATATCAGATGGAACACAATAACTGACTGAGTAGTTGTTCTTTTTGTGAAACAAGTTTATTGGTAGCAGTATTTATATACAATACAATAGTATATTATTATACTGTATTTAATAAATAGACTATTATTTAAATATAAATTAATAAAAACAGTAAATGACGTATTTAAAATTACAAAGAAAAAATAATAATTTACGCATTGTCCTGGTGCGACGGCGACTGGCGGAGATCCGACCCCGCATAAACTGGAACAGAGCTAAGAGGAAGAAAAAAACTCATTAAGGGGTAGTTTTTTAAGATATTATTAATCACATTGTATCAATGTAATTTGATCCTTACATCACTATATATATATGTATAAAATTTGTTTAATACCTTACTATTGCAACTACTTGACGGATATCAATTTGCTTAATACAATCATTAAAAATGCCGTTTGGTACGTGTTTTGCCTCTAAACCAAGTATCACCAAGCTATAAATCGAATAAAGCTTGATAGCTTGCGAAGAACGTTCACGTCCAGACTACGAATGGATGTGTAACGACCGGGCAAAATCTATTGCCTGGCAGGCAACATTGAAGTAATTTAATCAAAAAGACGTAATAGAGGCATAAAATTTTGCCTGATTAGGTTTAGATTTAAAACGCCCCTATACCACTAATATATAGCATGTGTATATTTATAATAGTAATAATAATAACCATGGACAATTTACATAATGCTATCTAGTCCCTTAAGCTGGGCTTCTGTTATGTACAAGACAATATATTGTAATACTTTTTTTTCTAAATACACGATATATATAGAAAACATTCAGACCGACATACAATCATGCTCATAAATACAAATCCAACCTGTGACCACCTGAAGTACAGTGAAGTGCTAAACCGCTACACTACCGAGACCGTTAATTATTATTACGATGATTATTTTATTATGAAGGCTTAGCCGATTTTTTATATGATTCTAATCAGTCTGAATCAGTTCTCCTTACGACATGAAACATTTTCTTTATGTGGATAATTGTTTTTATTGGTCTGGGTATTACTATGTTCGTATTTACATAATAAAAATAATGCAATTAAATATTTCTACGTATTCAGTTATTTAGGACAAACTCTGATTTGGGCTGGATGGTGCTGTATAAATTATTCTCGTTTATATATTTGATTGTATATTTTTAACTTTCATGCAATGATTATTCAATTGAAAGGTAGAAAGAAAAAACATAGTTTATAATTGGAATACATTGGGACATGAAATCACGAAAGCATTAATGAATAATAAATTCTATATATTTATTAAAAATCTGTTTCAATAACACAATATAATTCTAATAATATAAAGTTCTTACGTTATTGTACGGTGATGATACGATACGGTGTCATATAATTATGTAGAGTCGTAGCATAAATAAATCAAAATAGTCTCTTAATTCTAATTCCCGAAGAAAAAGCGATTTCAGTTAGTTTTATTTTTATTTTTACTTATGCAAATAAAAGTACCGTATAAAAAAAATTTGGGCTTACCAATCAAAATAATAAGAGAATGCACTCAACGAAAACGGAAATCGACATTACGGTAATCAAAATAATAAAATGGAGTTATCGAATATTATATTTATAAACAGTTTTATGGTTTACAAGCCCTTCGAAAAGGGCATTCTTAATGTGATAGTACGTTGTGGTAACCCACAATATAAACAAGAGTAGTAAATAGAGCATGGAGCGACCACAATTAATGGTGGTGTCGTTTGAAATCCATTGCAGGCATTAGGTTGCATACACCAGAATGTTATTTAATATAATAAACTACCTATGCAAATCAGACAATTACCCTCAAAAGAATTCAAATTTAAAATAAAATATTTTTTTTATAATGTTACAAAATATTTAGATTCAAATATAATTATATCGTAATTATGATTATGAAATATATTATGTTAAAAGTTATATTATATCTGTATTCAATTAACGTAATTGTAATTGGACTGATTTTATATAAATTATTTATATATAATCTCAGGGCAATGGACACAGCGCTATCTAGCCCCAAGTTAAGCTAGCTAAAGCTTGTGTTATGGGTACTGATACAAATACATAGATATTTTTTTTTCGTAAATACATACATATTATACATAGAAAATACCCAGACCGATACAAACAATCATACTCATACATACACAATTATACTCATGAATATGTAATAATAATGATGATTTTATTTAGTCTTTATTCTGAAAGTGAAGGTATTATTCTTGTTTATTACAATTTCACTGCTTCGTTTTATCACCTAGTCGTAAGACATAGGCATTCTATTCAATTCTAACTCAATATTCTTCTGTACAACGCTTCATCAGTTGATCAATATAGAGAAGGATTCTCTATATTGATCAACTGATAGAGATTTATAAATACATACTTAACTTCGGAATACAAATTCGACGATCTCAGTGGTCTAGCTGTCTAGCACACCGCTTTACGTCCGATGATCGCGGGTTCGATTCCTCGCACGGCACAAACATTTGT